CACAATTAGATCCAAATCTCATACCTTATCGCCAAGAATTAACAACATCGTGTGTTTCGCTCATGGAGACATAGAAGTAGTGAGATTTGAATTCGCTGCAAACAAAATGGGTTTTGATTTTCTTGATCTCGCCGATCTCGATAGGGTTTTGTTTATATAGGAGAGTGCAGAGGAAGCAAATAATCGATTTTTTTTTTGTCACAAATAATCAAAAGTATATTAGCGCGGTATAATACTGTATAATAGTCACTTCACTCAAAGTGTTCGGATACAATACGCGTATTATTAGCACGCGTATATTACAGTATAATCGAAATCAAACCTACTATTTTGATTAATCCAATCATGGTATGGCAATTAATAAATTCTATGCAAAATTTTACAAAATGTATGGCAATTTTTTCTTAAAGTCTCGCCGACGATAAAAAAAATTAGAGACTTATGGATCACAAATTATAAAACAAAATTCATGGATGGTAGCCGAAAACTAAAACTAGGTATACTATATATTGATTTGGTAGGATTTAAGAATTTAGTCAGAAGCTTAATGTGCAATAATTTAAAAAAAAATCTATGACTTCAATTAAAAGAAAAAAATACTATTATATATTAAAAAAAATTATTTTGAGTTACTTTTGATGATGTGTCACTCCTACAGTAATGTTAAATGGTGTTGAGGCTTTTGCTCTAGGGTTTCAACAGATGTTCCTCTTTTAGTTTTCTATCTTTATATTGGCTATGCTGTTGATTGATAAGACAAAATCTTTCCGACATTAACTCCAACCCGTCTCTTAATAAGCCACTCTGTTGTCTCGTGTCCTTTTTGAATTGACGACGAAAATAAGAGAGATTTCTCCAATGCTGCAATGTAAGAATGCAAGTTTTATTGACGATGAAAATTAGTGGAAACAAATGCAAGTATATATATATATATAACTTTGAGGCAAAAGAGCTCTCTTTATTAAATTAACACTTTTGTCAAAATTATATTAACACATTTTTCGTCAGTTTATTGTGTTTTTTTTTTAAGAGATACTCTCTCTGTTCCATTTTATAAGATTTTCTAGTTGAATATATAAAAATTAAGAAACTATTAAAAACATTATTTATTAGTTAACTAAAAACATTTCAACCAATAGAAAAATGTACTGCAAAATATAAATGGTCATAACATATTTAATTAATAAAAAATTTGCATAGAAACATAAGAAATAAAAAAAATGGAACAAATAAAATTTTTTAAAACATCCAATAAAATGGGACAGAGGGAGTAGTATTTATGGTCCATCTGTTATTCTAAACAACGTAATGACAAAAACAACAAACACTTATTTCATGAAAACATAAAAATTTTAAAAATGCTATTTTTGGTGTGTCAGTTTTCAAAAATAACATTGTGGATTGTATTTGTATATTTTTAAAAATATCATTAATTTATAATATTTTAAAAATCTTAAACCCTAAAATTCTAAACTTTAAAAAGGGTCTTGACCCCTAACAAATCTAGATCCTATAACTAAACTCTAACATAAAATAGTCAATCAAAACATAAAAAATATTTTGAATAAATGATATAGTTTTGATGGTATTTTTTAATTTTTTTTTGTATAAATATGACACTTTTGAAAAATTGCATTTCAAAAATAACATTTTTCAAAAGAATTAAAGAAAAAGTTCTCTTATTATTTTTGTACCACTTATAATCGTAACTTATAAAAAAAAAATCGGGAAAATTGCGTTACTACTTCATTCCACAGTGTTATATCAATGTTTTATCTCTACAAGTAATACAAAATCTGATTATTATTTTTTTTCGTTAAATCTCGACTATTCAGATAAGACCACCATCTTTATAAGGAATATTTTCTTATTTGAAATAAAATATTT